GTGGATAAGACAAAAAAAAACATGTCACAGCGTTAGTTTTTATTTCTGTCAGGACATCCTGTTAATGTTGTTATACAAAAACAATAAAGAGCTTTTCTGATCTAAAGCGTCCTTATTGTGTAAATGTGATTCGTTCTTCTTCTATTCGTTTTTCAGCGCAATTCTCGTCAGTTTTCAAGCAATTTCAACAAATTATAAATCAAAATGTTCAGCGCTTTCAGGACAATCCTGCTACTGGTGCAACTTTAGCTTTTTGAAATATTTAGCCTTTTCTGCCACTTTTTTCCTCATTAAAATGAACTGAGCTCATTTTACATCCTTCAGATCTTAAGGTCGGTTTACAACCTTTTACTGCTCCTTTCACATTTTGTTCTGCTTCAGCTTCTTTCAGCTTCCTTGTGCAAATGTAATCTTTTTCAACAACTTTCAGCTAATTTCAGCTGTTTGTTCAGCTGTTTTGTGCTCCTTTCAGATTCTTTCTGCTACATTTTTGTGCTTCTTTCTGCAAATTTGAGCTTTTTATGCTCCTTTCAGCTGATTTCAGCTTATTTCTGCAAGTTTAAGCTTTTTTTCTGCTATTTCAGCTACTATTTAGATGTTTTTATGCTAATTTTAGGTTTTTCAGCCAATTCCACATTTTGGCACTCATTTAAACTTTTTTCATCCTAATTCAGCAAAAATGTGCTCTCGCCACTTCATTCTGGTAATTTAAGCTTCTTTCTAATTTTTAGCTGCTTTTCAGCTGGTTTTTGTTGTTGTTGCTAATTTCAGCTTTTTTCTCATTTCTGCTTCTTTAAGCCTAACTGGGCAAACATGTTCTTTCTGCTTTTTTGTGCTAATTGCTCTTGTGCTAGCATTTTAGTATTTTTAGCTAATTACAGCTGTTTTCAGATAAATTCCAAGTTTTTCATGGTAATTTCTGTTGTTTTCAGTGTAAATAACTTCTTTATGGTAATTTCGGCTTGTTATGCTCATTTCAGCTTATTTTTGCAAGTTTCAGCTTTTTCTGCTATCCAGCTACTGTTTAGTTGTTTTTATGGTAATTCCAACCTTTTCAGCTAATTCCACATTAGTTGAGCTCATTTAAACTCTTTCCGCTTCCTTCTGGTAGTTTAAGCTTCTTTCTGCCTTTTCAGTTTTTTTTGTTTGCTACTTTCAGGTTGTTGTTTTTTTTAGCTAATTTCCTAATTTTTGTGCTAATTTATGCTTAATTCAGCAAAAAACATGTTCTTTCTGCTTTTTTCTGCTCATTAAGGCTTGTTTTTTTATTTCAGCTACTATTTAGCATGTTTTTTTAGTTAATTTCAGCTGTTTTTCAGGAAGTTTTTCAGCAATAAGCATTCACACTGCATTTTGGCAGGAAATGTGATGTCTCTAGTTATATATTCTCTTTTTTGTCTCCAGTCAGTCTCAGTTTGGTTTCACAAGTTGCCAAACAATCCCAAAGTCTTCTCATTTTTCTTTCTGACTCATGGAAACTAAATTAAGACAGGTTTGAGGCCAATTCTAGACTCTTGTGACAACTTTGAGAGCAGATTTGTTGCAAATTTTCCCAACATTTACAACATTCTTGTGACGTGAGAGCGAACCCCTACGATCCATGCGATAAAACATTTGGATACATTTTAGGAGCTCCCGTCAGGTGTAATTCATAGTTTGTTGCAAACAGATTCTTCACCCTGAAAGCTTGTGGGGATACATCACTAAAGACTTTATTTTGTAGAAGTTTAGAAGTTTTGAGGGCTTAAAGAACAAAATCTGAGCATCCTCATTTTAAAACTTTGGTTTGGATCGAGACTTTTTGACTTTTATTCTTTAAGAAAATCGTTGCTCTGCTTTGATTTGTTGTTAATCTGTCAAAGCTCAGGAGTTGGAAAGCAGTCGTTCTCTTGAAATGACAGGTCTTCAGTCTCTTTCTTTGGCTTTCTGGGAGTTTGGTTTCTGTTTGGACTGGGTGTAATCCTGTTCTGGTCTCTGAAGTCCTCCAGTCTGTGGTCACATGGCCGGGCGGGGCTGAGGTGGGCTGCCCAGCCAACCAGAAGATGAGGAAAGAAGTATATCCTTGTTGTATGTTCGCCTTTGGCCCACGCCATCTGCCCGCCTGGTTTCTGACACCTGGACCGGCCCATAAGAGCTGGGCACCCCTGTCATCAGGGGCAACACTGGGCTGGCCTGCGGGGAGACATTTGGTAAAGGGGGGAGGTAATAACAGCTCGACAGAATTTGGGAAAGAGGCGGGTGGTGTAGGGGTGAAGCTGAGGCCACTTTTTGACAAAGTGTGCTTAGATTTAGATTAAAATCTGAGTTTTAAAGCTGTGATTTTAATCTTAAATCCACGTCACCAGAAGTGTTTCTTATTTCTGGACGGTGCCCTCTAAAGGTGCTTGTTCCCAAACGGCTATTCTTCTGAGTTTTGGCTCAAAGTTCAGAGGCAACCGGGAAGCAAATACTTGGCATGCTGTAAAAGCAGAGAGGGAGCCATTAATGTGATGCCAGATGTTCATCAGACGGTGATGTTAAGGGGAGGATTCTCAATTAGTTGGTTCTTTTAAGGGGGAAGGCTTCTTGAAAGGCGAGCGCTGTTTGCTGCAGGCCCCGCTTCGTTTCATCTGAGCCAACGGTGTTCACAACCAAAAAGTCTGAATAGGATAAAAGCCCATGAAGGAACAAACTAAACTCTATCGCTAAGATGATGTCAGCGTGCCGTAGATGTCCAAGACAAGACGGCTCGCTGGCGAGCTCGCGGACGTCCTGGCAGTGGGGAAAAAGAAACAGATGCAGCCGAAGCCTGGTAGTCGCCCACCTCTAATCGGCTTACACTGGCTCAGCGACAGGTGACTGGTACCTCCGACGGGTCACAGAGCAGAAAACACACCTCATAGTGAAGAACGACATGTTGGAAATCCACATGAAACCGGAGCAGCACTTCACACCTTCAGCTAACAGGAACCAGTTAAACGCTGCAGCATTCTGAGCTCCCCTTGTTCCAGAACTGTACTTGTATATCGTCTTTCTATCTTATCAAGATACTCAAAGTGCTTAACAACAGAATCTGTGCCCTCATTTACCCATTCATATAACACTCTACTAGATATCTACAAAGACTAATCAGTGCTTTATCACATTCATACACTGAAGGGACACACATGGGAGACAACGAGGGGTTCAGTGTCTTGCCTAGGAACACTTCAGTATGACTTCTGGTGGAATCAAACCCCCAACGTTCCCATTGGAGGACGACTGCGCTAACCACTCAGCCACAGCTGCCCCAAATAGGAATTAACCACTGCCGAAACGTATTCTAATCCAAATCTTTAGTTTACATTCACAGTTGAGAGCGAAGCTTGGACTCGAACCCGCAGATCTCGCGTGGTAGCCCAACGTACTTTCCCTGATCTATAGTCGGACTTTACATCCCGTACGTTAAATGTACATCACAAACAAAAATATTAGGACGTTCCGAATTATAAATACAATCAGAATCCAATGATCACAAAGACGGACGTATTACGGTATGGTCCATGGAATACGTCCGTCCATACGTCAACTTTCTCTTGTCCCGTCCATAACATCTGATCCGCTCAAGATAATTTAATGAAACTTTATACACATATGCATCATCATGAAGAGGAGTGTCACGTATGCAGCTTCAAGGTCAAGGTCAAAAATCAAAGTCAGATGTTACGCAAAGTCTTTACTTGTCCAGGCCATTGCTATAGATTGCTGTATAACAGTTTGTTGACGAGCGCGATGTACCGTATGTGGTTCGCAGCGTAACAGTTTAAACTTTTCATGAGTTCACTAAGAAACTGCAGATTGCAAAACGTAGCTGCAAACAGGTGTTTGGAGAGGATTCCTGGACTTTATCGTCCTGTTAGATCGTGAAGTTTTTATTAGAAATGTTGAGAGCTTTTCCTCACATCTGGTCAGATGAATATGATCCAGCTGTTGGTTCTCTGTTGTGATCTCACCTCGGCGGTTCTGTCAAAACACACGATCTGTCGCTGGTGTCTTGACAGCAGGTGGAAACCCAACCAACGCCAGGAGAGCGGAGAGCTTTTCCTGGTGTGTGTGCGTGTGCATGTGTGTGTGTGATGTTTGCTCTCAGCAGAGGATGATCTCGTAGTCCTACCAAGTCAAACAAGTGGCGTGTTGCCGAGCCGTGGAGCCTTTCACACAGACGTGAGTTGGTATTGACACAGTGTGTGTGGCTCAAACCTCAGCGCTAAGAGCCACTCACAGCTACAATTGGGCCAGAAGGAGCGGTGTGGACTCGTTACGCTAAGCTGAGGGACCTCTGAGACGGTTTCTGACATTATTTCCACTGATGGAATAAAAACACACAATAAACGTACCCATGAAGATTAGATTTTATAAATAGACAAAGAAGAAAAAATATTTGTAAGCCCATCAAAAGATGGTCGTATTTTGGCAAAGTCTCTGCCTGTACGTCTGTAAAGGTCATATATCAAGGTCAAACGAGGTCTTGACCTGTCTGGGCCTTTGCTATAGATTGCTGTATAATTTGTCTGTATGTCAACAGGTGTATAATGTATCATACGCAGTGCTTTTGTTTACTTCTTGGTTCTTTTTTGTGCCGTCACAACACACAGTTCTTAAAATGTGTTAGATTTATTAGAAAATAAATGAACATACTGTAATACATTATATTTATTTAACCTACTGGCATTTTCAGGTGTTGCCCTATGATGCTTTTGCACGTTAATGTCAGAAAATGACTGGAGTTTTTATGAAATTTTGCAAATATAAAAATAGTTTTCTTGCTTTTGAGCTTTTTATAGAAAACGTAATTACTGGTTGTACGTAGTCACTTTTTCCACCAGCGTTTGATTTGTTTCCTTCAACTTTTGATGTTGTTTTTGTTCACTTTACCGCTCTTGTAGGTGTTTTTCAGAAATCGGTGTTTCTATCAGAACTCGTAAAAAAAAAAACTTCCTCCACCACATGATCACTTCACACCAACTCCTCTTCTTCTGCAGATCGTGAGGGGACATTGAAAAGCAGTATGGAAGCTTCAGCTCCGACCGCCACCGACAAGAAGGAGTGCAAAGGTTCTGGTCTGGACGGAAGCAGCTTCTCTGAACTCCCCAAGAAGCCGTCGCCGACCACTCTGAGCAGAGGTACAGCTCTCCTTCTTTGTGCACTCCCGTCGACAGGCTAAAGATTATTTAATAAAACACGATACACATCTGCATCATGACTATACGGAGTGTCGCATACACTTTCACCTCTCCAGCTTCAAGATCAAGGTCACAAATCAAGGTCAACGTCAAAACAAGGCCTTTTCTTCTCCAAGCCATTGCTGTAGATTGCTGTATAAGTGTTTGTTGATGGGCGTATGATGTGCCGCTTTTATTTATTTTAGATTTGATGGTGGAGACAGAAACGGTTAATGTGATGTGAACTGGTTTTTGGAGGCTAAACCGAGGTAAAGCCTCGCTCCTAAATGTTTTTTTTTCCTGGGTTATATGCCGCACGGTGCAGTGAACTGAAACAGTGAGGGTAAATATCTGGGTGGCACGTGAAACAAGTCTGACCCTGAGACGGGGGGGGGGGGGGAGTCTTTCTGAGATGTCACAGAATGGATGATGAAAAAATGTTATAATGAGGCAGAAAGACCTTGTTCTCACCTCCCGAGTGTAAATTTCATAAATTACTAAAAATCAGCTGGCACGGCAGTGGACGGCGTGGTGTATGAGAGGCCCCGGTTATGGGAGGGGGCATCTTTGAAATGCTAACAAGATGTCGTCGGGCATTGTGGCGTTCTTTCTGCCTAATTATGGACTTGGTGGCCTGCCACGCGAGGAGACGTGAGCATTAAGTGTTCAGGGGGGTTGCGGTGCGAAACTGGGGCCTGGCACCTCCACAAACGAACCGCAAGTTCTTCAAACAAGGCGAAAAAAACGAATTTACACTGCCCACGACGTGAATTATTCACGTGGTTCTGACCATTGTGTGCCATGTCGGCTGTCAGGGCCGAGTTTTCACAACCTGGCCTCGTGCACGCTCACTCGTCAGGGCATATTTGTGCTTGTGAGGTAAAAGATTCCCTCTAAGAAAAAGCTTATAATTAAAATATGAGCGCTCATGTTTTCATTAGTGTGAAGGAAACTCTTTATAACGAGGCTGGAGGAGCTCATCCGAGCCCTCCGAGGTCTCGGCGTCATAAATTACTAACGCCTGCCGGTGGACGAAACCCCCTCCGGAAGTCGACCACTGCAGGAACGGTTTAATGAAGGTTCTGGTGGCCTGCCATCAAGAAGAACACCAAAAGTAGGGCATCAGATAATTCTGATTCTCTGTCTTTACAACTATACTCAGTTTTAATGTCATTTTAAATTGGCATGCACTGGCAGGAATAATACGAGGCAAATATTTCTCAAGTATTTCTTCAGAAATGATCACAGGCTGCATTTTAAAGTTCAGGAACAGTCAACCCGGTCACACAGAAAACGTCAACTAACGGGGAAACATGGAGCTTCGCATTCGTGCAGCTGAAATCTGAATTTATTTTATTTTTTTAAATGCCATCCAGTAAAAACGTTTGGATTTCAGGAGGTCGGTTTGTTTTTTTGCTGAGGAGACTGCTCTTCTGATGGGATTATGGTGCCTGGTTTGATGCGGCCAGTAAGGGTTTTCTTAACGTCATCACGTTCGATATCTAATCCTACAGGTGAATTTAGCCGTTACAAAAAGTAAACTTTCAGTAGCTCCTACTGTAAAACTTTTCCTGATCGAGTCACGGGTTATATGTATTTTGTGACGTTTTATTATTTTTATTTTGTTCAAAGATTTTGAGGAAGATGCAAATTGGAAATGAAAATGGAAGAATACCGTTCAAATAGTTGCTACAGGAATTAGCATTTCATGTTGGGATGCACAATATTATCGGCATGGTATCGGTATCGGCTGATATAAGCGTTAAAGTTAAATATTGGACAGCGGCCATTCCATCAAAATAACTCACCGATATAAAAGACAATGTTTTTGTATGACAACCCAGTGATAAGGATGTCTGCAGCGGCAGCACAACGTGATGATGTCACGCACGCCTACCTGATCTGATCACGGCGAAGAGGAAGAAATCAAAATGTTGGTGGTGTGGAAGTTTTTTTTGTTGAGGATATTGGATTCTGGAGATTTTTGGACTACGTTGAGCCTCACCACATCGTCCCCAGTTCGAGATATTTTTCCGACGTAGCCTTACCCGAGTTACAAGATGTAATTTCTGACGTCATTGAGAAGCTAATAGCCGATAGCACTTGGGTGAGTTTTACCACAGACATTTGGACGTCATGTTAGCCTCGTTAGCATGATTAGTCTTACGGTACAATGGATAGACAAAAACTTTGAACTTAAAAAGGCTGTCCTTCATGCACAAGAGTGCAGAGGATCCCACACTGCAGCTATAGGAACCTGGAACAAGCCTCCACATGTGAGACAGCATTGCAGGTGACTAATGCTAATAACATTTAGCACTTTTCATTTGATGTAAGTCAAAGTACTTTGCATATCATATGGCTGTTACTGAATATATGCCACCAGCTCTTACAGCTGTTACTATCAAATAAGCCTAAATAAGAGGGCTATGTTCTGACAAAGGAACGTATATAAAATATCTACCATACCATACCAATTTATTTATAGAGCACTTAAAAAAGCAACAAGGCCAACCAAAGTGCTGTACAAAAGAACCAAACATGCACAGCAGACAGGAAAACATAAAATAAAAATACAGATACAAATAGCAGCAGAAGCTAACTAAAATGGCCAACAGAGTAGAGAACAGACCGGACCAAAACAAATCACACCGTGTTAAAGGCAAGCGAATAGAAGTGGGTCTTCAAGCGAGACTTAAAGACTGAGAGTGTGGGAGCCTGCCGGACACTCAGTGGCAACTCATTCCACAGTCGTGGACCTGCGACAGAGAAAGCCCTGTCACCTTTGAGCTTACGACGGGTTTCTGGGACTGAGAGAAGCATCTGGTCTGCTGACCTCAGAGAGCGCGGTGGGACATATGGCTGCAGAACATCTGTATCGGTTATCGGCCAAATAAGTTTTAACATATCGGCATATCGGATATCGGCCAAAAATCCAATATTGTACATGCATAGTTAAAAGCTAAAATAACAACAACAAAAAAACAGATAAAGACAAAACCTGGCATAATGTAGGCCAAAGCTGAAAGCTAAAGTTAGCCTATTGGTTTTGGTGTTCCCTCATGATAATTTAGCGTTAACTGTTTTTAAAGAAATAAATCGATTGCAACATTTGTGGACATTTTATTTTAAATTAAGTTCCAGATTTTCAGTCACGGTGCACCATTCCTGATCAACCTCAACATGACGTCGTGATGAAACCCTCGTCATGTCGGGTCACGGTGGGACTGAGTCAGAACGGAACAGCGCCGTGATAAAACGCAGTGAAGTAAGTTGAACGGAACCGTCCTGAGAGCATCTCCAGGTTGTTTAAACCTCTGTTTGCTCGTGTTTTATTGGGACATTCCTGCAGAATTAGTCTCCTCTGAGTGGAAACATGATGTCTGCGTCTGGTTTCTGGGAAAAACTGGAGCCAGGAGAGGAGAAGTGAGGCCCCTCTCCGGTATGGTTCAGTTCTCGGGTGCATTTCTCTGTGCCTTGTTGATGGTTTTAAATGGGTGCCCACATTGGGAGCGACAGCCTGCGTTCGCCTCACTGCGAGGCGTGTTTCCACAGGCTCCATCGCTGCAACCCGACTCCCCGGCTCTGGGATTTACAAGTCTGTTTTTCCAACATGCGTTCAGATTAGACACCCGCTTCCCGGACAGTAAAACATCTCACCGTTTCAAAGGAGACCTGCGATTCACGCCACCCTCCTTCATGTGAGTCACTGATAAAGATATCTTTATCAGTTCATCACAACTTTAAAGTGAAAAACCCTCAGTGTCTGTGAAGAGGAGAACACCCCCCTCCTCTGGTCTTTCCTCCTGAGAGCACCCTGCTGGTCTGACTTGGTCTGGACCCTGCAACGTAGATGGATGAGGAGAAGTCGGCCATCATTAGTCTTTCTGGACGTGTGATAAGGAGCTGAGTGTTAATCACAGTTATCGCCGGTACGTCTTACTTACAGCTTCAGCCTCCACCGATGTCTCTGCTCTGCCCTTTCTCTGTAAGGTGCTCTGGAGTGGGTCTGCCCCCCACCCCCCACCCCTCTCCTGGTTGAGAAAAATGTCCCAAAGAAAAATAGACCCCCTCCCCATCACGCCCCATCCGCAGGCCTACTCCAAAGGGACGGCCACTAATCTTCCTGAGAAAAAGATTTCTGCTTTTCTTTCTTACTCCCAAATGAGGCTCTTCCACTGTGGAGGTGGTGTTGGTGGTGGGGGTGCAGGGATGACTGCATTCATACCAGAACCCTGTGCCCCCCACCTCCCCAACATATTTAACTCCTCAGAACTCCACCTTTGTAAAAACATTCAGTTTATCCCCTGATGCCTTAAGTAAAAGATGTTTCTGCAGAAATGTTGCAGAGAACCAACAAAACTCATCTCAGCTAAAATCAGTGTTCTTTGTAGAAACTCGTCAGGAGTTTAGCTTCTTTTTCTAACAAGTCTACAACGATGACTTGTTGATGTTTAGATGTTAAAGACTGAAGAAATGTGAACATGAATATAATAAAGTTTGCAGCTCAAATCTTAGTGAGACATCATCCCACGCCGAGTCGTATCTCTGTGACTGTCGGAGACTAACTTTAGTCTCAAAGGAGTCTCCAAAATGTCTCCAAACGCTCACGAAGCTTCTCAGTTTCCTGATGTCTCAGAGGCTCACCGTCCTGTCAAATGAGTTTTAGCAAAGCTCTCAACCATCTAGCTCCATCTTATATTTGAGATCTTATTGTTCCATATTTTCCTAACGGAGCACTTTGCTCTCAGGCTGAAGGTTTACTCGAGGTCCCTAGAGTTTCCAGAAGCGGAATGGGAGGAAGATCTTTCAGTTATCAGGCTCCTCTCTTGTGAAACCAATTTCCAGTTTCTGTCCGTGAGGCTGACACATTGTCCAGTTTTAAGACTGGGATTAAGACTTTCCTTTGTGATAAATCCTATAGTTGGGGTCGGCTTGTTATGCTGTCAAACTTAGACTTA